GGCCGCTGTGGGGCTGCCTCCAGCACCCTCAGTGCAATCGGCCCTTCTGCTGGCAGGGCTTTGTCTCACAACGCTTCCGCGTCTGTCCCTTGCGAGCACTGCCGGCGCGGTCTGCAGTTGGGGATGGGCTGCGCCCTCGGCAGGATCGTTCCCAGTGTTGCCTTAGAGGGATTTGAGGTGCCCAGACGTGACTGTTCTGGTTAAAGCCTCTGTGTTATCACCGCCATAGCTACAGTCCAGGCCCACAAGAGGCGGACAATGTGTTTTGGGAGATGTGTCAGCCCCAGCTCCGGCAGCAGACACCAACCACGGGACCGGTGCGAGTGCAAGTCACCCGCGCTGCAGGGAAGAGAGTCCCCCTTACCTTTGGCCCTGCATTTTCTCAGCTCTCTGTCCTGGATGAAGCCAGCAAACATTTGGGATTCCATGAAAACTTCCAAGAAGCGGCGTATACTCTTGGATGCCACAGATTTACGGAAAGCCTCCCTTTGGAAGGCACGCTCTCCTTTTTCATTCTGGGTTAGGAACAGGGAATAATGGCCAACTGTCTCCACAAAGAATCGGATAAAAACCTCAGACACTAATCCATTCAGGGTGTTACATTCTGCAAAATAAGGCAGCAATAAGACACCAAAATCAGCTGCTACGAGAGCTGTCAGCATTGTCACCCACACGGGGCCAGGTACTGTCACCTAGCAGTTCACTGATGCCATGCTAATATGTGAAAGGAGCGCTACCGACTCCTTGCAGCCCCAGACAGACATCAGGCAGGGTAACAGCTTTGTAATCACAAGTCCCAGTCTCCGTCAGTGGTGTTTCATAACCAAGAGTCCATGAGAAATACAAATCCTCAGGAAACAGCACAGAAAATTAAAAATTTTGTGGGTGCTTCATCAAAATTATACCTCGTATTTTAATTCTTGAGTAAGGTGGCTTAAGAAGCTTCTGAATGACTCTGAGAATTAAAATGTTTGCTCTGGGGATAATAATCCTTTACTAAGAGCTGATCAAAAAGGCTATGTTGTAGAATTTGAGGTTTCATAATTTCTGAGATGTTAAAGTAGTTTTACATATGTAAAGCACAGACAAGTAGAAATAAATTTCAAAAACTGAAGAGGGGCCTGTTTCATACCTTTTAACCACAGGCATTTAAATTCACCCTGGGCTGTTTTTATAATTGCTGGAGAGAAATATGAACCTTCAGAGGCAACTCAGCCCCTCTTGTACTGAAACTATTTTCTGGAGGTACCTGCTTCCCTCCCCTGAATATGGTGAGCGCCAAGAGCAACTCCCCACTCAGACACACCCCTGAGTGTGTATAGTTATCTGGATTGAACTGGGGCCAAGTTAACTGCAAACCTCTGTTTGAGCAAAGGTTTAAATACTCATGGGAGTGCATGTCATTTACAAAGAAATTAAAATGGATCGCTGACAAGGTATTACTGTGGGCTGATGCTATCAGTCCCATTCCCTGTGTGTTCAGAGACTATCTTTGATATCACAAAAGGTATTTGAATACTGAAGTCCCACCTTTCTTTCTCCTGGATGGAAACTCACAATACTACCTACATGCTTGTTTATACAAGTCCCTGTTTCCAAATGAACTTACCATCATCTGAATCACTATCTGAATCCTGATTTATCAGTTCATTCTTTCTCTCTAGAGCCTGCTCCAGAGCAGCTTGCAACTTTCTAGGTAATAGTGTATCTTCATCATCCATCTGACAGAGGAAGAAAAAGAATCTTTAGATCACAATTTGTGCAGCAACTACAGCAAATACTTTTGGAAAGTTTAAAAATCAGAAGAAAAGCATTTTTGTATCTATGTGCGACTATAATGTATTTCCAAAAAAAATTCTTGTCACTCTTAATGAGGTTGAAGTCAGGAAGGATAATCCAAAGAGCAAGGTAAACATACAGAAACTCGGAATCAGGTCTGTACATGACAGAGTCCAAATAGTTGTTTTTAACTAAATACACACAAGGCCTAGCTGTGTGTATACACAGCAGCTCTAGTTGGTTTTAGGCAGCTTCTTTGGTTCTTGACAGTTGTTTTTAGTTATATTCTAGTATATCTTGTTTTCTGAGTTTTTCCCCTGTTGCTCTCTTCATCTTATTTAATGCTTGTTCAGCAAAGGCAAGCAGACACAAGAATCTTAGCTCTGCAACCACTATTCACCACCCGTATGTTCCAGAGAATCATACAAGAAACTTTACTCATCTAACCTGCAGACTGGCACTTTTGAAATAATTTAGTGCTAAATTACTGTCAGGAAATGGCGATCCTTCATCTTCCTGTTTACAAGGCTCCTGCTTTTCCTACCACACTGAACTATTCTTCACTTTTCTTCTCTCACTCAGAGACTTTTCTTTGCAATTTTTGTCCTTTTCACCTCTAACACTGTGAATTTTCTTGCTAACATGGTATTATATTTGGATGTTTTCTTTGCACAGTTCTTGATTTCTTCAGGCAGTCACAGCCTCAATCCCTTCTGGATACCCGAGAAGTAGTACTTATTTGCAGGTGAAACAGAAAATGAACACTTCTTGAAAAGATCCATTTCCCACTGCACAATTCCTGACAAACATCTCTAATCAAAGAAGCCTAATAATACTATAGGACTAAACAGCTTGCTAGACTGTATGGCAACACTTCGAGCTGTACTGTACCTGTCTGATGAATCGATCTGATCCCAGGTTAACCATCAAAGCCTAAAGAAAAGAAAACACTATAGTGAAATATATCTGAAGAGACAGAAAACTTTCATTTGTGTCTGCCTTTTAACAGCAAAAGATCATCTGAACTGTTCCGAGCCTCAGCACGAATCAAATTCCTACAGTGAAACAAGTTGTGTGCTTTATAAAACAAGATGAAGCTCTTTAGAGCTTAAACTCTAATTTAACATAGGTGGATACAACAGATCTCATTCTAGGTTAATATGTAAAAAAACCTAAAAGGGTTAGGCAGGTCTTTTTCCTTAAACCTAAGCAAGTTATTCCTAATTGTTTTTGTTAATGTGCAGATTAAAGTATTTTAGAGAGGTTTGAGAAAACAGTGCCATTTGAGCAGCAGGACTTCTGAAGGGCAAAAGTATGAAGTATTAATGATAATGAGCAGCAAAGCTGGGAGATGGAGCTGGGAAGAAGTGGGACAGCAATGCTAGGAAAGTGGGAGGAAAGCAGAGGACAGATTTCCATGGGCAAGAGGCACAGAGAGCCTTGAAAGCAAGCACAAGAAAATACAATTTCACAGAAAATTGACAGGACACCAACAGGAGTAAGAGAGGAGTGTGTCCTTGAGGACTTTTTATGGTATTTTACTGGAAGAACTGATGAAGTACAACTCTCTTTTGATTTCCAATGTAGTATTAGCAAAGTCTTAAAAGTAAAAAAAAAGAAAAGCCTTAAAGGTTTTATTTTCTGTGCTGTCTATGACTTCATGCACAGCTTTGATTAGCATTAGTAGGTGTCACAGCAGATGGCACTTCATGTCTTCCTCTTGTTGTTCCAGGTACAACAAAGTCAGAACAAATCAGCATATTTACATTGCACTTACTTGTTGACCAGGTTAACACTCTGTCAAGGTGCCAGGTGTGGGGAGGAAAGAGGAAGAAAGACTAAACCTACTACTGCACTTTTACCAAGAAGCAGTTGTCCATGAGAATTAGGCAGAGAAGAAACAAAGAGGCAGATTAAAAATTAAACACATGAAGATGTATGTGCAAGTGGCAGTCCCTGTCCAGGGTGAGGCCAGCTTTCCTCCAGGGAAACCATTCGGGTGCCAGCTCCTACCTCCTCTACGGGCAGCTCCTTCAGCTTGGGCAGAGAGCTGGAGAGCAGTCCCACCAGGAAGGGGGTCGGGCAGCACACGATGTCGATCATGGATGAGGGCAGAACAGGGATGAAGGTGTGCTGCCAGGAGAAGGGGTACAGCAGGGCCACCACGGCGTGCGAGCAGCTTGAGAGCGTGCTGGAGAAAGAGAGCAGCAACCCCATTATCAGACCAAGTTCATCCAGAACACCTACCATCTGCAGATAAACCTAGCGTTTGAAAATGCGAGTGCTCAAGGGGCTGCCCCAGTTTCCCCAAGTGCCTTTCAACATCGCACTTCTGACTGCCTCTGTCCCCTTCAGTCCATACGATGTCTGCAGCTGGAGAAAGAGAGCAGCAACCCCATTATCAGACCAAGTTCATCCAGAACACCTACCATCTGCAGATAAACCTAGCGTTTGAAAATGCGAGTGCTCAAGGGGCTGCCCCAGTTTCCCCAAGTGCCTCTGTCCCCTTCAGTCCATACCATGTCTGCACTGTGTGGGGTGGTGGCTCCTCTCATGCCCACCTCTAGGTGACTCGAAACTGAAGGTAAAAACTGGAATCAGTTTGTCCCAGCAGAGCAGTCAGGAGACACTTTGATCTAGCAGATGAGGTTTAATGTTCCCAACAGCACTGAGTTTGAGCCACTTTGAATGATGCTTAAAATCCAAAAACAGCTCCAGCTCCCAGCTGTTACAACCAGGTCAGCAGTAACAACATGTAATTCTGATGTTCTTTTGTCAAGCGCTAATGTGCAGACAAGGGAAAAGGAAAAATAAAATAAAATTGAAAAAAAATCCTGAGGAAAACCCCCAGTAAATCACACGTAAGAAACCCTTAACAATCAGTATTTGCTCCAAAGGAAACCTAGTAAAAGCAACACATTTTTCAAACTTTGTGTATTTTTGTGACAGCAGCATATTTTTCTTGCAATACATTTTGATGGGCCTGTTGATCAGCTCTAAGGATAAAGGCATTAACCTTGCTCAGGAGAGTATTCCAAAATACACACCGGTGTCCCTTAACATCATTCATGGAAAATGTCTTGCATACATTGTCCTTCCATCTCCTGAAGCTGATTCCCTTTTACAGTCACATGGTTTCCAAATGTTAAAAATAAAGGAACATCATTACCAAGCTACTTTTAGCATCAGGGGAATAAAGACAGGCTCTCCATTTCAGAGCTTTGATTCTGGAGTGAGTTACAGCGCCTGTTTCTCGCAGGCTGAGGATGACAGAAATTTGGATTTTTACCCAGCCTAGCATGACTGGGCTCATTTTCTCACAGTGCAAACTAATGCTGTGCTGAATGTAGCCACAAAGAACTATAAATAACTAATAACTTCAGAGCTGCTACTGCTTGAGAATGCTGGGGGGAAATGCGGATTTCTTCTAACGCAAGACTTCTTGGAGACTTTAGGTGGCATCAGACCTCCACCGGAATAGCCCTCCAAAGCATTTTCTATTTGCGACTTACTCCAGGGCCAGGAGAAAGGTTTCACCTGCTTGTTCCTATCAGTGATTAACCTTTGAAGTTTGGTGAATGGGAAAAGGGAGAATTAGAGGACAAGGAGAGAAAAGGCTGGGGAAGAGCAAATGCTCATCTTTTACTGCAAATAATCTGTGGGGATTTTTTTACTTGACATTTCCTTTAAAATCTATCAATAGCATGTTTTTATAACATCTGTTGCCTGACACAGGCAAAACTACACTTTTCTCAGATTTTTTTATTTTTTTTTTAAATAGCAGGCAAGGGTGCTGCCGTTGCCTGATCTTTGGTGTGCCGCATCGAGCACAGTGCTATGGTTCAGAAGAGCTGTGGAGCATGGTGCAGACTCCCAGCACTTTCTCAAGCTCACTGCAATGACTCTGTGGCATTTTCAGCTACTACAAATTCAGTCATCTTAGCTGAGTGACTAAAAAAAGAGCCACGTTAAAGCTAAAAGCAGGAAGACAAACATTCTTCTGATATTCAGTTAGTATTTTTTTTCCTTTCTATAGAATGCCCTTTTGTAACTTGTTGTTTTACACGCAGTGCTGTGACGTAAATCAGCCCCTGCATCCTCTCCTGCGTGCTATTCCCACGCTAGGGGAGGCTTCAGGCTCTGGCCCAGGACACTAGTTTCTCTTCCAGAGCTTTCCTGGGAGCTGGCTGGGGCCGGGCAGCAGCTGGATGCAGCAAGTGGCCATGGAGGGGGGTCCTGCAGCAGCACCTTGCTCTGCTCTGCCAGCGTCCCACAGGTCACACTGTCCCCCTTCACAGCACCTCAGCTTCTGCATTTTAAGGCTCTGCACAGAGTTTTTCAAAATTCAGCTTAAAAAAATCATTCCCTGTGAGACATCTCAGGCTGACCCCCATGAAACGCTCACTCTGAACCTTCAGCCTCCAGAACTGCCCACCCTCCCTCTCGGACACTGCCTGTGCAGAGGGGGTCCCACATGCTGCTACCAAACTCCTGCTTGTACATCGTGCCTGTGTCTCTTCCGTAGCTGGAAAGATCCATAATTAGAAAGGATACACATATTTCACTTCAGTGTTTTACATTCTGTAAGGTCGAATTCAGAGATGATAGATGTAAGGGAATCCCCAGTTTAAGTCTCTAAAATATGGTTTGAATCCTTTTAAAAGGGTATTATTCATGAGAACTGTGTTTAGAAAACAAAAAAGAAAGCCCTACCCTGGGAAACCAAGTCTGCTCTAGTTTTTCCTCTCAAGACGTGCAACCCACACATTGTCCCACTGTTCTTGTTTATGAGAAATACGAAGTATGGTCAGATGATTTTTTTTTTTAAGGTGTGTGAAGCACACAAAGTAAAGCAACAGAACAGTAAAGGAAATTAGATTCTCAAAATATTTTAACAGTCTAGGGCAGTTTTGGAAATCCAGAGAGCTGGTTCTGAGAGTGGGCTTTTTCATTTGGTCTGTGCAGTTTCACAGGAACGCTGCATAATGTTATAGCTGTCGCTCTACTGGAAAACACTTCTTATATTACCCATATGCAGGTCATTTTTTATATGGGCACAAGAAACCAAGCCATTGCATAAGTCACACACTAATGAGGAGCATAAACCATCACATACTTCAGCGGGAAGGCACTGCTGGAGTCGGAGACGCACTGTGATGATCTCAGGGCTCTGGCCACCCTGGCACGGGATGGGGACAGCAGTGCCCAGGGTCCCAGCACCGCACTGGCTGTGCCTCCCGCCTTCCCTCCAGCACAGAGGCAGTGCCGCTGCCCCGTGCCGGCAGCACTAACACCAAGCTCCCATCCCGCCCCGGAGATGTGGAATGCTCTGCGATGTTCATCTCTGCAGAGCTGCCCAGGGGAAGGGGCAGCCTTCGGCTTAAACCCAGCTCTCTGCTCCGGCAGCTGCAGGCTGTCCCGCACACAGCTGTAACTATACGTGCCGAGTAAGGCTACTAACGGTAATAGACTGTGAAAAGGTGACCGTGTTTGCAAGTTTTGTGGGATAAGGGAATTTTCTTACACACAGGTAGGTGAGGCTGCCATCTAGACATACCACACAGCCTGTGCCACTGAACTCATCTCGTTAGCCTGTACTTATCCCAATAATTAGCACTCTGCTAAAGCAAAACCAGTGAACAATTTCTAGGAAAAAACCACGGTTTCAACTGATTTCACAACACAGGAAATCCACCACTTCTCCTTCCAGGTTTTTTTTTTTCCATGGTTTTCATCTTGTTAAAAATTATTTGGAATTTGCCCAGGTTTTGGTTCTTCCTGTGCCTTTCATTCACTAGATTAAAAAAATCATTCAGTGTTTGATCTTCTCCCCATGAAAGCATTCATATGAGATTATACAGTCTTATTGAGACATTCTTAACCACAAATTTCTCTTGAAGAGATCTTTTATCATATTACAGACAAAAGATTACCATGTTTCTTTCCCACTCAAAGTTGATTTTTTGTTTTCAAAATCATTTTCTTATGGTAGCACATAGAGACTTTTCCATGCCGTGTACTTGGCTGTGGAGATGCAAGGCTCAGACTAAGAGCTGAGGCACAGGAATTGCAGACACTACCGTGACTCAGCTGAATTGTGGGGACTGCTTGTGAACACGGTTTAGGCCCATGTCAAAAGCAAATTAATGTGACTTAACTTTGACTTAACGAGAACATTTACTCTTCTTTAGACAAGAGGATGTCTGCTATCAGTCTCTGGGTTGGTCAACTAACAAATAACCCCAAGTCTAGGCTGTATTGACACCTACTCACAGCACAGGTACCACATTCTGAGAAGCATACATTGCCGGCTGTTGAACGGTGGATGGTCCCTGCCCCGGCTGTGGGGAGCACGGCTGATGTGGATGCCAGGGCTGGATGTGTCTCCTCACACATGGAGCATCCCCTGACTCCAGGACCAAGCCTCCAGCACAGCCAGTCGCTGGCAGGGCTCCTTGGTCCAACCTTGCTACTCTCGTGCATGTCCACAGTCATTTTGGCATTTACATTGAAGGAGGGGAAGGTGAGAACATCCCTTCCTCCTCCTCCTCTCCCAAGGGACAGACAAGTTTACTCAGCCAGGAGAGGAGGGAGGACCACCCCTTACGCGCGGGGCCAAGCCACACAGCAGCTCCATCACCCCAGGGCTGGTGCCAGCTCTGTGCTATGCCGATGCTCTGATCGTGCAGAGGACTGGGACCAATTGTCAGAATCTGGGCCCTCTGCTTCCTCAGATGGAGAAATGTAGCCAAAAATGTAAATTCACAAAGAGGCGTTTCCACTGACCATGTTTACTTTTCCACAGCCTTTTCGTGTTTCTCATTTCTCCCTGCTGATTTAATTACGTTACTCTGTCCACATTTGCTGAACTCTCATCTGCTGTGTTAACACATACATGCTCCAGCCACAGCCGCTCTGTGACCGAGTCACCTTCCGGACTCACATCCCCTCATCTGCTCGGGAGAACAACATGAAGCAATAAGTACCTTTGTGCCTGTAAGCTAACACTGACACAAAGCTGAAATGGAGATTTTTGAGAAGCGAAGCTGTCACGGGTGACATCGCTGCTGTTAAAGGATACCTCTGTGCGTTCATGTGTAAGGGCTGCAATTGCTGATGGGTCTGGGAGACCTGCCTGTTTGTAGGATTGCTTCCCTTTGTAAGACACCGTTTTCACATGATCAGAATTCA